TATATTAAACCTATTGTTGATGACATTACATTAGTCATGCTGATTCTGTACATCATTACACGATAGGGCTGTAAAGGACAGGTTATCTCGGTCGTGAACGGCATGATCTAGTTTACGAACAAACTGAATGATTAAGTGCAGAACCAAAGAGAACGAAAAGTTCTTGAATGATACTAGTCTGGACATTAACTTCAGTTTTAATGTTTTAATATGCATTCAGGACTAGGGGCAAGAGACAGCATTGCAGTCTACTCTGATAAATTATTCCTTTGTTTGTTCGTGAGAACACAGGCGTATATTGGAGTGCGCACGTGGCCATTCTGAATGGTCCAGCTGCGAGTTCAATGAGCCACCTTGGGATGTTGACGTAGATGTACGTCAGACAGCTTGAGGTAACGTCTTGACTTCCCTTTTTCTTCTTTTATGCACAGACTGCTCTGAGCTCGTTCTTCCAAGAAGTCAATGTCCCGGGTCATACCCACCAGATGGTAAGCATATCCCTCCCCCCGTCAGCGTCTCCGGAGGAACTGTTCGTGGCATGCTGCGGCCGTGAGATCAGTAGAGGGTGGGACCCCGTTAAGGGGAGGGCACACAGATAGTGCTGTGTTCAGTGCCCCCGATACACCAAGCATGCTCACCCGTGGCGAAATAGTGCTGGGCATTGGACTGGGACAAACATATGCAGCGTTAAATGAGCAAGCAACATGTATTGGATATTGGATAGAACATAAGAACATAAGAAATTTACAAATGAGAGGAGGCCATTCGGCCCATCAAGCTTGTTTGGTGAGAACTTAACTAATAGCTCAGAGTTGTTAAAATCTTATCTAGCTCTGATTTAAAGGAACCCATGGTTTTAGCTTCCACTACACTAGCAGGAAGACTAGGGTGACCACCTATCAAGAGGGACACTATGAGCTATGACAGGGTTTGTAAACTACCATTTCAATTAAAAGGACCCAGATTTCACTTAAGCACTGAGTTCTTGCTGTGTGCTGATTGGTCAGTCTCCTATAATCATGCATGTGTCACTAATGTTAATGTGAAACAGCTGGATGAGTCTTTCAATCAAGGAAACAAACCAGTCAAAGCACAATAAGAACTGAACTTGTTTGCCAAACGCAGGGGCCTTTCAGTTTGGAAGCAGTTTGTAGAACCTGAAGTAGCTCACAGTGTCCCACCTGACATGGATTAGGGGGGTCACTCTAGGGGGGGTCACATCCTTTAATTAAGAGGAACCTCAGAATCCATGTAATCGCGATTTTATTAAGTTACAACCCAAATTCACAATAAAAGTTGTTGACTAGGGTTGGGAGGGGGTGGCGATATATATATATTTTCCTTTAAATCATTCTGTCTGCAGCCCCCTGAGAGCGGTCTTGTGACCCACATTTGGGTCGCGACCCCCCAGTTGAGAAACGTTGCTCTAAATTGAGCTGCCCTTTTCCGAGCCTTTTGCTGCTGGTGCTGAAAGCTGAGCCCGCTTCTGAAGCTCGTGTGCCCTGCACTGAGTACAGCCGGCACCAGCCTCGGGGGGGGGGCCTGTGTTGGAGGGAGGGGCTGGGGCTCTGGGGGCATGCTGGGCCGACGCCAAAGACGAGCGGACTAAGCTGGCTGCCCTCCACGGGCCTGATTTCCTGTTATTGATAGAGCCGCATATATTCCGCTCCTGTGCGTGAAAGTGTGGCAGTTTTTATTTAGGGCGCAGGTGACATCCATTGGGCTGATGCAGGGCCAGCCGGGGGTGTGGGGGTAACCAATCAGAGTAAAGGGTTCAGGAGCTTGACATACTGGGAGGGAGCCAGTATAGGATAGTGTAGCAGCAGACCCTGTGTAATGGAAAAGAAATACGTTTAATAGTAAATTACACCGTGATCATGAGTAACATCAGCGATGAATACCGGCAGTACTAATTTGCTAGTGGTCATGGTGTATTCTGATTTTGCTAATCGTTAAGCAGTTGAATTACATTGAGCGTGAGTGATAGAGGCAGGCGTCGCTGTGACAAGTGGCTCGGCGTCAGGTCTGGCCCGGGGGACCTGGTGGCCCTCGGAACAGCCACCAACACGTGAAGGGCTGCCAAAGCCGGTCAACAGGCCAGTGACACTCCGCTCCCATGTGCTGCTGGGGAGTTTGCGTTGTGTCACTCGCATGCATCGGAATTGTCGCTAAAATTTAGTGTTATTCAGTTTGACGCCATTTTGTTCTTAGGCGGTAGCATGTGCGTGTTTTTCTCTCCTTGAGAGTCTCCATGGAGATTTCATTTATACACAACACTGTCAGAAATCAGCTGCGGTGTTCGCTCACATGACAGCCCTGACCCTCAGAAACAGTGTCTCAGACGACGAGATGACCTTCAGAAGCTGGCCTGCTTATATTTCATGTTTATACTTGAATCTGGGGAGTTGGGAGTTTTTGGCATGGTGTACAGCTGTTTCCCTGTCGATTTGGTGTGCCTAAGATAATATGCTGTGATATCTGCTGGTAAGAATATTCCGGAATATCCAATGCTGGAATGCAGAGGTGTGAAGTAACCAAGCAGAAGTACAGGCAAGTGCCCAGGTTATGAAGGAGATCCATTCCCTACGTCTGTCCTTAAGTGGAATTAGTAGGGAAGTGAGAACAATATCAGTAGTGTGCAGTAATAATAACAATAATAATCATAATAAGTAGCTACACAGGTACTGAACTGTAGCTCAAGCTGGCGAAACGTAGAAGCCGTACATGAGCGTCACAAAGTAATGTGCGTGTTCGTTATTACGAACCATTGGATTTAACGCAAACTTTTTAATGTAATTGGCTTTATGACGGTCCGTTCGTAAGTCTGAATTGTCTGTAAGTTGGACGCCTTTATTCCTGGTACTGCCTGTGCTTGAGTTTTTTCTGGATTCGTACTTTACTTGAGTATTTCAAGTTGTCCCATGTTTGACTTTCATGTTTGACTACATTTCTGAGCCAAATAATTATTCTTACTCCATTCTGTGCGAGACCATTGTTACCTAATTGTAATATGCTTTACGAAAGCACAACGCACGCCTGATTGGAGCAGCGAATCGGTGGGTTTATGTTTGCCTGTGTACCGGCAAAGTGAATACTGGACTGAGTTCCGTCGTTATTAGAGTCTAGTGGGTGATGCACCAGATGTAACGACACACCCAGTGGCTCTAGGCCGTCATTGCGACTTGGGGATAGCCGTCACAGTCGTCATGGCGACTTGTGGGGATAGCCGTCACAATGGCGTGTATCTAAAATGGAAGAGTCTGCTGCAGCTGCTGCTCAGTATTTAAATCGGTCTCCCATTTGCTTCCGTGTCCAGATGTGCACGCCCCGCAACACGCCGGCCACGCCCCCCAGCTTCCCAGACGCCATCACCATGTTCTCCCAGCTACGCGCGACGGATTCCCCGACTTCCGCAGCCTGTCCCTGGCCTGCTCCTGCCTCGCCACACGCCTGTCCACATCGCCACGCCCCAGTGTGGCCACCCACTGCTCAGGCTGGGCCTGTCCAGCAAACACACACCTTACCCGCCCTGCACGGCCAGAGATGAGACCCGCATTGGAGGGGGCGGAGCTAAGCGGGGGGGTGGTGTGGGTGGGGTCATACTGACTTGGGGATGGATACTACTGTCATTTTATTTTTTTTATTTTTTTTATTTTTAAAGAAAATCCTTTTTGAAATACTACTGTTCTCTCTTCATTCCTGTTAAGCACAGCTAGCAAGCTGGGAAAGAGCAAGGAATTGTGGGAAGGGGGACAAATTCAAGTATCCATAACTGAGACTGGCTGACGGAGTGATGTGGGAGCCTGAACACGCTCGGTTCATTCAGGCTTACAGCCGGACCCCATTCAGTGTTTGGCCAAGAGTGATATCACAACCAACACAAGCCTGAAAGATATAGACAGTGGGTTGCTGTGGTTCCACCTTCCCAAGATGGTCACTAGGGGGCAGAGTGAATGGCTCTCCAAACCAGCCTGGACGACAATAGTTCTTGTGGAGAGTCTCAAGAAAAGGACGCAACTCCACTTCCAGCCAGCATCAGAATGTTTTTCGTTTTTTTACAAAGGTGAAGGTGAAAGCATCGAAATCAGAGGAAAGAGACTTTGACTCATTTTCTACAGGTTTTTAGTACTTAGATGTGAATCCATTTGGTCCACAGTTCAAATAAAGGCTCCAGTTCCCTTAGTTTGTGACTTTGTTGGGTATTTCCGTGCCCAGGGAGGGCAAACTGCGCCCTAGACACCAGAGATAGATTAGAGGGAGGTGCAGCTTGGTGGATTTGTTCCAGTCTCTGTTTTATACTTGCATACAGCCATTGTCTCAGGATTTTGGTCTCTGTACACACACACTCACAGCAAGTCCCACATTCGTCTCCTCTGACAGAACCTTCAGTGGGAATGCCGTGATTCTGAGGTTAGGTTTCGTCGGACCTAGTCACTGGCACCTGATGTTCGGCCATGATAGTCTGTTCCAGTTGTAGCTGCATCGAAGTTCTACACAGCCATGCATCACCCCCCCCCCCCCACCAGCCAGTCACAAACTGGACCTTAGTTCCCCGCCCAAAGTCTAGCGTTCTATCTGTATGGCCTTGTGACGTCTCACAATGTTTCACTGTACGTGCTAATCTGCGTGCCGAGGTTTCAGCTGTTATTTCCAGTTTTGACTGCGGCCACGGTGCAGCCTGTACCTTACGTGACGGGAGGACGCTGTAAATCACCGCAGGAGGTTTAACGCAGTTAAGAGGATTCGTTTGGGATCTCGCGACAGCAGGTGGCCCCCGGTGAGCGTGGAATTTGGCCCGAGCGGGAGAGGATGTCCCCCTCTGGCTGCTGACCTTTAAAGCAGCCTGCTGAGCACACTGTCACTGTTTGGTGATGAAGAAGGCAGCTGTGATATGGAGGATTCCCTGACCCCCCCGCCCCACACGTTCCATGCTCAATATCCCGGGCGTCGTTCTTTTGCGGAATCGTTTCGTTTCACTGCGAGATACAAACAGAAGAACGGTGGATTCTGCTCTCAGTCTCTGGGTTTCTTGGTTTTGCAGTGTAGATGGATCGACGGGTCTAATGAAGACGCCCTCTGCTGGTAGGAAGGTCTTAAGAATGCCGGGAAAAGCACGAGCGCGGATCTGATGACATTTACACTCCGCTTCCCCACAACCCATGGCTTTAGCCGGTGTGGGGGGGCGGGGGGATATGCATGAAACCCTGGGTCTCTTTGCCCCCCCAGTGCAGTGAGGCAGTGAGATGGCTTGGGTGGCCGGAATTTGCAGGCAAAAAGGGACGTTTCTACCTGGCGAGTTGCTGATTTGAGTCCTAGCAGAGTCAGTGTCACGCTCTTGTGCTTATTGAGTCCTAGTAGAGTCAGTGTCACGCTCTTGTGCTTATTGAGTCCTAGTAGAGTCAGTGTCACGCTCTTGTGCTTATTGAAATGATTTATTAGAGATGCTTTTTAAATTCAGTTTGCACTCTCCTCTCCACCCCCAGTTGGTCTATAGTGATGTCAGAGACCCATCCTCTGGTGATTGGCTGAAGTCCAGCTGGCCATCCAATGATGGCTGGGGCAGAGAAATGGGGGCGTTGGTCTCACAAATACATCCTAGTGGAGACACAGTCTGTCCTCTCAGGGAAGTGCTGGAAGGTACTGGAGGGGATCAGGGGTCAAAGTTCAGAGGTCTATATTTGTGATTGGCAGAGGTATTTTAGCATTTATCTCAGTTTACTCCAAGGTCATTTCTTAACTGTGATTGTGTAGTGTAAATTTGTTTAGTTACACAACAAGTGTACCTTGACGACCAAGAATAAACACAACACTTCTACAATTGTACATGAGGTTCATCCGCCCAAGCCGTGCCTGACACTGACCCGCCGGGCCGCGCTGGGAGTCGGCGCTGTGGGGGCGCCGTGGGCTCCTGGGGCCCAGCTCTGTGGCACCAAGCCTCTGGGCCAGCGCCGTCTTGGCCGCTCTGCTTCTCTCAGCGCCTGCGTGACATCGTACATGCGCCGAACAAAAGCAAATGACATGCAGCTTTCAAGTCCCCGATACCCTGGTGTGGGCTTACAGGCCACGACTGGAAGCAGTTCAGAGTCTCAGGTCTTAAACTTGTGACCTTTTTCTGAGCAGAGAGTCCCTTAAACCAGTAACCAGTGTTTCCCAACCCCCAGACAGTCCACGTTTTTGCTCCCCCCCAGACAGTCCACGTTTTTGCTCCCCCCCAGACAGTCCACGTTTTTGCTCCCCCCCAGACAGTCCATGTTTTTGCTCCCCCCCAGCACCCTGTCTGGAGGTGCCCAAGGACCAGGTTTGGAAACACTGCCTTAAGCCATCTGCCCCCCCCCCACTGTGGCCCCTGACCTGCTCGGCACCCACCCTCTTTAGAGATGTCGGGCAGCCTGATCTCCATGCTCCTGCTGTTCTGACGGCCCCTGTATACGTGTCCATCCAGGCCCAGGACGTCCACCTCCTCGGCCTGGACACGGAGAACGAGCCATGAGTGCCGTCGGGGGGCGGGAGGGGGGCCCTGACACACCCAGGCCCCTCAGAGAACAGCGACTCCATTCGCTAAACAGTGGGAGGCGCTCGCGCACACAGCGCTCTAGGGATTCTCCACTTGCTCTAATTAGTAGTTACCTGTTTGGTGGCCAGCTGTGCTCCTTATAAACACTGCAGAAAAACTCAGTGTGGTTTAAACTGACTTTACGAAGCATTACAACAATCACGAGCACGTTTTTTATAAATAAAAAGAAATATTAAAGGATACCAATGGGTGTTTGAATATTTAGCGAGGGTGGTGAATATAGCCTCATGCTGAAATTCCACAACCCCCCCCCCCCCCCAAACACCTGAGCACATCCAGCTCCCTGTGGCAACGCCTCTTCTTCCGCCGGGGCGACGTGGGCGAGATGCTGCAGGCGGAGGTACCGTCGGCTGGGCTGTGTCAGGGTGTGGCTGCCCCCGCAGTTGCGGGATGTCGGCAGGAAGCCACTCCCCTCTGGCTCTGGGATTCGTTCACTGGTGGGGGGGCGGTACATGAGAGTTTAAAGCAGTACAGTTTCCTATTATGCTGTGGCCACGCCTCTCTCCACACCACGCCCCCCCTCCATGGCTTTGGTCCTGGACTGGGGCTCCGCATACGGCTCCCTGGGGGGCCGCTCTGCGTCTCTGCTTGTGCTCCGATCGGCTGCCTGGTGCCTTATGGGCCTGCCGTGTACGCAGCAGCCCAGGTGACTGTCTAATCCCGGGCTTCACACTGACAGGCGGCCAGGAAACTAGGTCTGGTCCCTACGACTGTGTGGTCATACTGTTCCAGTGATCAGTCTTCTGTAAAATACTACATCAGATATTGTTTGTTAATGAAATTAGCAGAAAGTCTATTTTAGGTCTATCATATCATTTTAAAGTTTAATCCAAGAGCCTTTTATTTAACAGCATCAAATGCTACACTCACAAGGAGGAGCAAAGTGATGTTTCATCTTTAATGCTACTTTACAATTATCTTTACAATAGAATCTTGAATCCATCCATCCATCCATCCATCCATCCATCCATCCATCCATTCGCAAATACCACTTCTCCACTAGATGGCGGTGGGTAACCTACAGTCTATTCCAGGAGGCACAAGGGATGAGACAGAAGACCCCCTGGGACGACAGTCCATCACGGGACTCACACTACTATGCCAGCTGCAGTTTGGAGATGCCAATTCACTGTGCATTTTTGACCGCAGAGGAAAACCATAATAGCCAGTATTACATTTACACTTTCAAATAAAAATGACTATAATTGTATTTTAATTATGAAATTAACTTTGGCACTCATGGATATTAAGGCAAAGATTCAGGGGTCTAAAGACAAGAGAAAGAGGTTTCCCAGCATGCTCTGGGGTTCTGGCTGGTCCTCACCTCTGGTAGTGCTGACGGACCTGCTCCATCTCATAGATGGTGTGAGGGCGGCTGGACTTGTGCAGTGGGAAGCTGGGGGCCAGAGGAACCGTCACCAGGTGTCTTTGGAAGAAAGACGCAGGGATGCATTGAGCCAGTCATTTGCTCAAATGGCCCTGTGGCTGTTTACTGTCTATGCAAGGCAGACAGTGCTAACACTAACTATTAAATTCCATTATGTTAGAAACATATTATTATTCTCAATTCACAGGGATTACAAAAAAAATGAATAAGTGCACCTTCACTGTTACCCTATTGTTGGCATTAGAATTTTGTAAGGAGCTACTTACGGTCCAGGAACTGATGCGGCGATGGGACGGTCACAGGAAATGCAGTGGACCTGATTCACTAGCTGTCTGTTAAGTGGATGTGAGGAAAGAGAGAAGGAGATCTTGCTAGACTAGGCGGCACCAAAACATCTGATTGGTTGGTCCCACCTCCTCTACAATCTGATTGGTTATCTCTCTAAACCAATAATTTTTCATTCTGCCCTCAGAACATATATGTGTAAGTAAAACTCCCATGAATGGAGATCTCCAGTTTCTGAGTCCACCATTCTATGCTTTTTCTGTGGTTCTAGGTCTACAGCTACATCTGCTATGGGGACTGGGTAAGGTGGTCTTTGAGTTTAAATATGGCCAAAATATGGTAAATTTATTATCGACCATACTGAGTATAGATCTTTACGTGATTTATCAGATCTATACCCATGATCTATATAGATCTAGACGTGTGACCAGAGTTGCAATTGTAATTCCCAGGAGGAGAATCCAGCTTTGCATCCAAAGTCTGAAATGTAACATCATCCAGATTTTTAAAGAGAGGAGAAAGAAAAAAAATTGGTCTAGAGAGATAGCTAATCAGATTGTAGAGGAGATGGGTCCAAACAACTATAGGTGGCAGGGCCAATCAATCATGTCTTGGTCCTACGTCCTCTACTATCTGATTGGTTATCTCTCTCAACCAATCATTTTTGGTCTGCCCTCAGAATATTGTTGTGTAAGTGTGCAGGTGGCTTTGAATGAAGAATAGACGGCAGTAATGGGTGGACTGACTTCCTGAGGCCGGCCGCGTCGTCCTGTGCAGGCTGCATCTGAGGGTGCTTCAGAATGAGCTTCCAGCGACCCTCCAGCTGCTTCTTCACCGAGTCCAACTGTGTGGGGGGGGAGGCTGGAGTTTCACAGCACAGACACGAGGCAAACGCCAAGCGCTGGCTACTTTACGCATCAGTGCACAGGGAAGAGCACGGCTGGCCAAAGCAAACACGACTTCGCCAGGTTCCTCTTGGCTTTTGCCACCAACAGAATTACGTAATTGAGAAACTGAGAAGTCCTGACCTTTAGGACCTCATATTTAACTACGGCCTTGGCCATATAGGCAGCTGTAGGACAGACTGCACCTTACAACAAATATTGGAACAGAAGTTAATAGCCATCCATCCGACTGCTTACAGTACCGGGCCGCGGAGAGCCTGGGGCTTATCCAGGATGAGGGTAAGGTAGCGTACGCCCTCACCGGATGCTCGTCCATCACAGGACACATTCACGCACAATCAAACACTACATGTAAAGATGCCAATTCGCCCTAAATGACCGCGAGAAAACACTGCAGACAATAGTGCTAATTATTCTGATGTGAATGAAGTTCGACAAAGACTGAGTCATTGCAGCTGTCAGTAACATGAAGACTTGTTTGGTCCCCGAGGGGGTTATTCCAAGCCAGAGGGATAAACAACGAGTGTGTGTGTGTGTGTGGGGGGGGGGGGGTGTACGCTGTTACACACCAACAGAAACATTCAGTGGTATCCTGGGCTTGTATTGGGAAGCAGGGCCTCCTCACCTTGCTGTCCATCTTGGCAGAGATCTTCTCCATGACCCTGTGCCAGTCCTGCTCCTGGTCTGACACCTTGCTCAGCAGCTCCTCCAACATGGCACCAAGCTGCTTGGTCATTTCATCAAACTGCCTGTGGCTCACCTTGGTCTCCAGGGCCCCCTTATCAGCCTTCTGTCGAGAAGAGCCGAGCGTCAAGAGGGCGATGGCTAGAGCCGGGTCGTTAGGGGGAGACCGGGGGCAGAAGAGCCCCTTTAAGTTAACCACACCCTGGGGCCTCTCCAAGGTCCATCCAGCGTCACATGGCCCTACACAGCACATCACGTCATCACTCACAATTTCAATCTCCATCTCCACATGGTCCTTATCAGCTTTCTTCTCTTTCAGCTCTTCCATGGATTTGTACAACTCCTGAATTCAGCAAAATATTCTTGGTAAGACACTTACACAGACAACACATCTGTACAGATGAGGTAAACACACTTGAATAACTCCTACTGACCTCCTCTTACTCACCCAAAAGTCACCCCTGGTTACACCCCTATCTAGCTGCTCTCTTTTTGCCTCTCTATACCATGAATTAGTTAATGGCTCATCTACCATGTTAGTCACTTAATGGAAGCCTTGATCAAAAGCATTACTAACTGTTTGTGGAAATTTCTGACGTTGACTAATGGATGCTCCTCTTCATTTCTCAGACCTGTTTACTCGGTGGCAGATCAGCGAGCCTACAGCCTTGTTGGTCACATTCGGGCTTCCCTCCGGTAGGGTGGATGCAGTCATACTTACATCAATGAGCTTCTGCCTCAGGCTGTACTCCTCCTCCAGGTGACGGGTGCAGGAATGGAGCTTCTCGCACTCAGCCTGCAACTGTAAGACAAATTCCTGCATGTCGCTCAATACCGCCACCTTCTGGTGGGAGAGTGTAGCTCAATGCTTAGCAAAACAAGAAACATCCTAGAAATCGAACTGGAAATTCAACATGTGTTGTGCTCCAACTAAAATTCTACTGGAAATTTAAAATACAGATTCTTGCAAATCACTTGATCCCCTGTCCTTGGGGAGACGCAACACCTCAGAGCCCATATAAACTTAAAAACTCTGTAGTGGGACAGTAATGGGAGCCAGAGCCTGACAAATCCATTCAGTCCTAAGGGGTTTCCCCTTCCTACTCTATGGTAACTGTGACTCTTGAGTGGCTCATTCTGCTTGTACCTCTGAACGGTGGCGCCTGCTGAACATTTTAACTGTGGTGGTCACTGGGGGCCAGTTATATTTTTGGAGGAAGCTGCTCAGCATTGTCTGTTTTATGGTTCCGCTCAGAAGATAAACCAGGGGTTGCTACTTATTAACTCCAAAGAAAATGTTTAAGGCTATTTATCTGGGTAGTCAGTGTAGTTTTGCTCAGAAAAAATACACAATTTAACATTAGAACATATTATTAACCGTAACACAATAAAAAAAAGAGTTATTGATTATTCATGTCTACGCCCAGTGGTGTTTATTAAAAGACGGAAGGACACCCTGAGCCACGTCACCTTCTCCCTGTCCACGGTCAGCAGGTCCGCCTGCTCCTTCATGTGACTCAGCTCTGCCTGCAGTCTGTCGAGTTCCTGCCTGTTGGCTGAGAATTAGGAGAGAGTCACGCCCAGGAGGGGAGCACCAGACAGGCCCCTGGCCCCCGGCTCCTCGCAGCCCTTCCTCACCTGCACGGCCCAGCAGGTCCCTCAGAGCCTGCATCTCGTTCTGGTCGGCCTTGCTGTTCTCTAGACGGGCCACGCGGCTCCCCAGCACCTCGTGGGCAGCCCGCAGGTGCCCCACATAACGCAGGGCCTCTACCGCCTCTGGGTAACATTCAGCGCCACCGCGCACCCGTGTCGGAGTCATCGCCCCATCCGAACACACGTGCTGAAGAGCCACATCCTCATCGGGAGGGGGGAGGGGAGTAGAGACGGCTGTTGTGGGTGCGGGGGAGGCTGCGGACACAACCTCGGACGTGTGTGTGGGCGTGGCCTCTGGGGTTTCCACCTGTGTGGGCGTGGCCACGAATGGCCGCTCCTGTTGAAAAAACTTTTTAATGTACACATCATAAGTGCAGCGATCTATATGAACTTGACAGATGCAGCTTTTATTTTTAACTGGCACTTGACTCATACCAAAAATAGTAGATTCATCTGCCTTTCCATCTGAACTGCAGATCCATTAATGTATCCATTAACATATCAGTCCTTCACCGCCTCAACCCCCTACCTGCCTGAGTGGTGATATGACGGCAATATACAGTCGTATTTAACAGGCACAAAGGAGCTTCACCTGTCTGATCTGCTCCCGCTCTCCGACCAGCGTGTCCTGTAGCACCTCCCACGAGACGTACTGCATAAGCTCTGCTGACTGGGGGTACAGCTTCAGACGTTCCTGCAGCTCCCCCTGGGGGATGCAGATGGGTAGTGCTTGGAGAGGGAGATCGTGAAAACTGGCAGCTTGCTGACACTTCACCTTCAAAGCTTCCCTGACAAAATCATTTTAGCTCTATGAGGCTGTAGTCAACAGGGCTGGGAAATCCAGGCCCAGAAAGCAAAAATCCAAATCATGATTTTGTTTCAGCCAAACAGTTGAGCATAAGTCACGGTCACAGCGCATTCAAATGGTCGGATGAAACATGGTCTGGATTTTTTCTTTCTGGACCTGGACTATCCAACTCTGGTCATGTAGGTGGGAATATCCAGACACAAAAGAAATCTTTAAATAATGACCAGCCTTTATCATCTTTATTAAAGGATAACAACATTATATAAGGTTTTAAAACAGGTCTGTTCATGTAATTAGGGCAACAAGGACTGGGGGTTCTGGACTAAGAAAAACCACTAAAACAAACCATTACTCTAGAACATTTCCATAACCTGTACAACCGCAAAGCTTGAGTTAACACCACACAACAGAGTCAAAGCCCAAATGATTGGCCCATCCTTCTTTATCTTCTAATATAAAGACATATGTACCATAGGTGAAACCTGTGGATCACACTTTGCCTTGAACGCGAGCAAAACTCACCAGAGTTTTCTCCATGCCGGACACTTGGTGACAGCACTGTTCCAGAGATGAGGTTCTGTCCCGGAGCTCAGTCACATTCAGCTGGACACCAAACATGACAGCAGGCTCCACATTCAGTTTCTCAGATCTCTTCAAAACTTTTTACGTTAATATGACTATTAAAAACAAATAATGCAATGTAATCCGATGTAGTGTAATGAACACTGTCAGAAAAAATAGTATCAATTTGCACCTTTGCTTGTCACCGGGGCTGTACCTTCAAGGGTCTGCTAACTGAACCCTTAGCTGTAAGTATATGTACCTTTTAAGTTACAGAAATGGACTCTGAGGAATATTTTTGTATCATTGGGGGTGGGGGGGGGGGAAAAAACTTTATTGATTCACGGC